ATGAAGAAGCTGGCTTCAGCTTTGGCTTCGGTTAGTGCAGCCCGCCTCCAAGGTTGGAGCCCAAGGGATGAGGATTGTCGTTGGTTAGAGACGCTGGGAGATATGGTCCAGAAAAGAAGTCAGTGGCGCGAATGCTGTACGGTTTGCCTGTCGAAATCCCGTGCACCATAAGAAGAAAGACAAACTAACATATACAAAAATTTCAAAAAGTATACGGTTAAACGCGAAAAAAATTGTCATCCCCTTTACTTGCTATTTCCCATTTTAACAGTTCAATCATTTTCCTATGTTCTGTATCCCAACCTCCCCTCCTGCATTGTTATTGTTATANTGTTTTGGCGTTGACACCATGTTTGTCCGCAAGCCGGCGCGTGTTGTTTACCGAGGTAGGTAGTCGGTAGAAAAAGTCAATGGTGGTTAAAATAAGACCTGGCACGAGGGTATGAAAATCCTAACCAATAGACTCAGTCATAAAGTAAACCTTAGGCGCCCTGGATGGGGGCCATCAGAGCATAGTAATCAATGGTTAGAGACACTGAGTGAAATGACCGGGAGTCGCAAACAGTGGTGCTCGTGTATTGTTTAAATTTCTCTGAAACCACAATCTACCGGAGTTCTCTATTTTCTCCTCTCTCATTCTCTCTCTACTTCAAACTGTCTTATCTTCCTCTGATGATGATGATGCACGAAAGTGCATGGTTAATGGTTGTACAAAACTGAACTGAATTCAATCGAACCGGTGATCACTACTGCAACCACAAAACGTGTGTTATTCTTCTCGTGTCTCTTCTTGGTTGGTTTGGAGTCAGGGTTTTCAGCTAAATCCCCTAAGTGAACTGCCAACGGTTTACCCAACAGGTTATTGGGTTTTCGTCCCCCCACTTTCGTGGGAAAACACTGCCACGGGAAGGCAGTGAGTAGGGTTTCCTCAGCAGAGCCTGTCTAAGACGCTTGGTTGTATCGAAGGATTTCGCGGGGTACAAGGGAGAGGTGATCAGCCACAACCCAAAACACAGCCACCCGGATCATACTGAGGCCTTCGATTTGTTTTGCTTCCTAAATCCGATCTTGATCTGGAGATAGTTTACAGTTTAGATATGGGCAATCGAATGTCTTGAAAATATGAATCCAGTTTTTAAATTCAAAACTACTCTACTTCATTCCACGCGTGAAAATAATTTTCTGGGTATTTTGTTTTTAATCCCCAACCCTCTTCTCAAATCCTGACCCAACCTTGTTTTTATTTGTCCCACGTGGGTGTACGAATAATTGTTTGTTTGTTTGTTCGTTTTTTTTTAGGCGCTTCTCATCATTCCTCCTTCTAAACAAGTTCTAAAAACAATAATGCTGTCATATCGGAGGTAGAGAGTTGTAATCACCCCTCGATCAGCTTCATCGTAATGGCTAGCCGCAACATGTGGGATGCGTCATAAACAATAAGAATCACAGTTTACAATTATAAGATACTGTGCCATGCGAGTGCAAGAAAAAGCCGACTGGAGGGGGGGGGCGGGCGGGCGCGGATACTGAATTCAATACATGCGCGCAATCAACAAAGGATATATATATATATATACAACCACGTTCACCGATACGGTTTAGTTCGCGCAAGTTATTTTGGGTCAACCCGGACAGATTCAAGCAGTTCCCGTATCTCATCGGCAAAGCAGACCATACTAAACAAGCAAGGCAAAGAAGGCGAAGCAAAAAACGAAGCGTCCCCTTGGAGGCGTGGGGTGGGAACGGAAGGCTCACCTAAGCACNGCCACTCTCTTCTCCTCGACCAGCCAACTTACGACTGTCAGTTCGTAAATGTTTCAGGACGGAAAATTCGTAATATTGATAACCTTTGAACCGCTCGGCGACCGCGACCATTGTTCTGACAATGGGAAAAGAAAGCCCGAAAAAATCAAATGAAATGAAATTCATCGTTTTTCTTCTTGCGACAGACAGCAAAAATATAAGCACCAAGTGAAATTCTTCCTATCTTGCCATCATTCTGCAGATCTAAATCATCAAACCAGTTGAAATCACCTCACTTTGCATTCTTATGCTGCCGATGGGCTGGAGATAAAACAGAACAAACTGTGTGGATCTGAGCAACGATCCAGTTATGGAGCAGCTTGTCACTGAGATGTTTGTCTCACATTTCGAGCTTATCATTATTATTACTACTATATAGTGTCACGCTTGAAAGTATTTTTTTTATTACACACTTTTCATGTGATGAACAGCAGACGGGGCGAACCCCATCGTCACGAAGACCTGCTGTTCAGCGATGAAAACCGGTAACCTAAGCCCCGAGACTTGGAGTGGTGAAGCACATAAGGCCCCGATGGGTTAGGCGTGGTACTGAACCGGACGACAGCAAGGTTGCCTACCACCAAAGTTGGGTGGCAGTGGCGGGGATCGAACCTCGGACCATAGGGTTCCGTCGCAGCGACTAAACCACTGCGCCACTACCACTATCATCAATGCTATGTCTTGATCGTTTCTTTTTGTACGCTACAGCTGATTTTTCCTATCGCTATTTCAATTACTCAAATGAGATTTTCAGTCAACATCTCAAATAAATGCCTATGGACCGTTACAGAAGAAATTTCATAGTCTGCTATTGTGAAAATCATATCACGTGAGTAAAACAAAAACAAACATTCGTTATGTCAGGAGAATGCTAGGCAAAATAACTTGTTTACCGTGAAGTCCGCTCCAGGAAGTTCAGCAGACTGTTCTGATAGGCAGCCAACACATGACTCAGCATATTGCAGCGACTGGCCGAGAGCAAATCAATTTTTTGCATACTGTCTATTTTTAACTTGTCGAAAACTGCTTTGTTTTTCCGAACCTAGGAGGGAATCGAGAGAAAAAAATCAAACGGAACACGAGTGTTGAGTTTCGGTAAAATAACACTTCAATTTATTTTGTTCATCAAAATAGAGCAAATTGCTTCACAGACATGCTAAATCTCTTTATTAGTCAATAGGTTAACCAAGTCGTGAATCATACTTTTTTTTAAAAACTACTTGTTTGAAAGCCGACTTGAAGCAAATGTTTTAAGCACTCATTTCATTGTCCAGTGAAGCTCAAAACTCATCGCTTAGGTTTCGTTCTGTAATCCTTGTAGGTCTAAGACCAGTGCATCCGTGGATTTATCACCCAGTGTTTTTTTACTCTACTTCACAGGTGAAAAATCTGATTCAACCTCTTTTATTACAATCTTTTATTCATTGTTTTTAAACAGTAGCAACCCTTCTTTCAAGCTAATTGACCGTAAGTATTGGGAACTTTCTAAACACTGAATCGCCACCTTAAAACGAAGCCGTCTGGTGGATAATAGACGGTTCAGTAAACGTGATGGTCTTTCACAGACTCACCCCGTAATGCTCCTTGATGAGCTATCATTACAGCCTATCAGGGTAAATTCGCTTTTTAGTTTTGTATTGGTCAGCGAGAAGCTAGGTGAGCTGCCTCCTAAGGTAAAAGGAATAACGAAAAGACTGTCGGTGCTCGAATGCAACATCACACTTCGAGCTCTAAGGGTATGCCACCTATGGTGCATCAGTCACAATCACAGTAATCGCATTCAGGTGATTGCATCACCTTGTGGAATGCCAGTTCATTTTCACGATAAACTGATTCGTTAGCCGCAATTCACCAATGTTCTTGCCCATCGAGAAGAACACCCCATAATCGCGAAGACCTGGTGCTTTTTAATAATGGAAATCCGCAATTTAAGCCCCGGGACTTGAAGTGGAGAACCGCATAAGGCCCCGCCGGGACAGGCGTGGTATTGAACCGGATGACAGCAAAGCGGCTTAAAATCAAAGTTGTCGGAAATCAGTACTAGACAAAAAAATCCCACCTACGAAAAACTGTAGTTAATCGCCGTTGTTCGTTCTCTCAGAAAGCAGAACAGTTCCACAGGCAAGCTTCTGATAGGTTCAATGCTCCTAAATACGCATTGAAATCACCTGCGAGTACCACAATAATCAATTTTGGGCTTAATAGAATGAGGAACGTGGTGGTAGACGACCCTGCTGTCGTCCGGCTCACTACCACGCTCAACCCATTGAGGCCTTATGTGGTTTACCACTCC